GGAGGTTAAATAATTGGCGAAGTGCGGCTTCAAAATGGAGGCGTGCCGCCCCGTACTTTTCACTGTCCATCAGGGCGAGGCCCTGGCCCTGCAGTCGTCGCACGGCTTCCTGCCCGTCTTTCAATGATGACGAGCCTCCCGCGGCGAAAACAGCGGGGGAGGACTCCACGGGCGTAGTTAGAAAGCGAGGGAGGGAATGGACTGGGGGGCAGGCAGATGGAGGTGAAGGCGCATTAATCGCAGAGGATGGTGGGAGTTTGAGGGAAACGGGCCCATGCCCCGCCTTGGAGGCGATGCCGTCCCTCGGAGACAATGTCTCCTGGCGCTGCATGGCTGCTTGCACCTGTATGGGTAGGGGGCGTGAAAACGCTTTCTGTGAGCTTATGGATCGATTCGACTGATTGGAGACAGGAAGGCGGGGAGAGGAAAGTGCTCCGCTAATAGTAGTAGGGCTTCCGCGGTACTACGGCCCACTAAGACGTCTGATGACACCCCCAAAAATATGACACACTGCGCAAGCGCCTCTTGCTACGCGTAACGGAAGAGATTCCTACCCCACTTTGTGTCTGTAACGCGTCCTCTGCACAAGTGTGGTGGGTTTAGACACAGACATTGTCATCGCCCATGGGCTTTGCACTTCTCTTTAGCGAGGCGCAATTTGCAGCCCGAAATATAGCTCTAGCACCGCGATAAAGGCGGGGACAAGGACACTGGAATCCACGTCCTTTTCATTCATCACCCCGATTTGTCCACACTGCAGGGGATGGTTCCTGTGTCCATGCCTACGCGTCCTTCCCACGTGGATGCGGCTGTCTGGGAAGCCTTGCCCCTGGCACTTAAGATCGAGATCGCCCGGGGAGAGGAAGAAGCAGGGAAGGAGGCAGGAGGTCGGGGTGGGGAGGGAAAACAATATGCAGAGGTTGCGATGCCTGAATGTGAGGCACGAGATGTGATTGATCTAGTGGGCGAGGAAGAGGAGGAGATGTGTGCACCCAGCTCGCGAATGAAGGGTATCGCAGCCTCGCATGAGAGGGGAGTGTCCAGGAATGTAGGTCAATCGCAGCCCCGCTGCCGACAGTCTCCCACCTCATCCGAAGGCAAAGGGGAGACGGACGATGATGTTGTTATGCTAGAGCAATTACCCGTGGCACCTGTGTGTGAGATGACGGATTCGGAGGGAAAAACGGCGGGCGTGGAGGAGAAAAAGGGAGGAAGGAAGCGACCAAGACCGAGGGCCATGTGCCTCAGGTTGCAAGCTGCGCAAGGATGGGAAGAAGGTGACAAGATACCGGTACAAATAAAAAAACGTGGTGAAGGCGCGGCAGGAGGAGGAGGAGGAGGAAGAGGCAGTGGATACGGAGAGTGGCAACTGAGTGTCACGCAGGACACCGAGGTGGAAGCGTCCATGCATGAATGGAGGCAATTGGTAGGAATGAGGGTCTGTAAGTGACCCTGGGGACGCTGGAGGAGAGAGAGACAGAGGGGTCCTTTGCGATGGAGTGCTTCCACCGGTCACGGCGTCGTTGTCTTCCCTCATTCCTGCATGCCCCCATTCCTTGGTCCTTCCCTCCCTCACCATCAGGTCCTGGAAGAGGAAGGCAGTGATCAAAAGGCTTACGTGGACGCATGCTTCCCGCCAGACTTGAGCGCGTTGACGGGGCGAGCGCAGGATAGGGGGAGGACGGGAGGGGAGGAGGGGAAGGAGCGGGGAGCGGCAGGGAAGGAAGGAGGGAAGGATGGAGGTAAGCGCTGGGGGTAGGGGTAGGGAGGATGGGGGGAGGGAAGGAGGAAGAGCGCGTTTTGTAGTCGTGTGGAGCGGGTATGGGGGAAAGAGGTAGAGGGGGAATGGGAGGGAAGAGAGAGAGAGGAAAAGAGAGAGAGAGGGAGAGGGG